AGATTTAAAAGCTCGTGTGAGTGTGAGTTTTCATCAGAGCTGCCTCCTGGTGTTATTACTGCAACAATATTATTTGCTATATTCCTCCATTTTAGGTGCCTTAAGTTGAAATCCCCCAGGAGCAAGATGTTGGGTGCAGGAGCTGGAAGATTTTCCAGACAGTGGTCAATTTTTAACAGCTGTTCCTGGAATTGCTGGGATGTTGCATCCGGAGGCTTGTAGACTACCACAATGACTAAGTTTTGGTTCTCGACCTTTACTGCTAAAACTTCCACTACATCATTTGAGGCATTAAGCAGTTCTGTGCAAACAAGTGACTCTGCAATGTACAGGCCAACCCCCCCCCCTTTTGCCTGTTCACTCTGTCACATCTGTATAGGTTGTAACCTGGGATCCATATTTCGTTGTCCAAGTGATCCTTTATGTGGGTCTCAGTGAAAGCCGCGAACATTGCCTTTGCCTCTGCAAGCAGTCCACGGATGAAAGGTATTTTGTTGTTTGTTGCTGGCTTTAGACCCTGTATATTTGCAAAGAAGAATGTCATCGGACTGGTGGTATTGTTGGTACAGGGGGGGGATTTTTTTTTCCGGCATTAGTATCTGTATCTGTTGGTTTGGAGTGGAGGCCATCGACTGTGGTTCCACTCCAGGAATGACTGGATTTGGTGTACTATCTCTGTCATTTTCTGCCAGTTTTTTTCCTTCCTGGCACTAAAAAACCTCACCCTCTTGAGTGGCTGTGGCTACCCAGGTTTTCCCATGGTAGATGGCGAGAATATTTTGAGGAACTTTTAAATGTTGAGGAAGAAAGGGAGGCGGTAATTTCATGCAGTGGCCAGGGAGGTATACCATCTTTTAAGAGTGAAGAAGAGCAGAATGTAAGTGTGGGGGAGGTACGCGAGGCATTACGTAGAATGAAAGGGGGTAAAGCAGCTGGGACTGATGGGATCATGACAGAAATGTTAAAAGCAGGGGGGGATATAGTGTTGGAGTGGTTGGTACTTTTGTTTAATAAATGTATGAAAGAGGGGAAGGTACCTAGGGATTGGCGGAGAGCATGTATAGTCCCTTTATATAAAGGGAAAGGAGACAAAAGAGATTGTAAAAATTATAGAGGAATAAGTTTACTGAGTATACCAGGAAAAGTATACGGTAGGGTTATAACTGAAAGAATTAGAGGTAAGACAGAATGTAGGATTGCGGATGAGCAGGGAGGCTTCAGAGTGGGTAGGGGATGTGTAGATCAAGTGTTTACATTGAAGCATATATGTGAACAGTATTTAGATAAAGGTAGGGAAGTTTTTATTGCATTTATGGATTTAGAAAAGGCATATGATAGAGTGGATAGAGGAGCAATGTGGCAGACGTTGCAAGTATATGGAATAGGTGGTAAGTTACTAAATGCTGTAAAGAGCTTTTATGAGGATAGTGAGGCTCAGGTTAGGGTGTGTAGAAGAGAGGGAGAATACTTCCCCGTAAAAGTAGGTCTTAGACAGGGATGTGTAATGTCACCATGGTTGTTTAATATATTTATAGATGGGGTTGTAAAAGAAGTAAATGCTAGGGTGTTCGGGAGAGGGGGTGGGATTAAATTATGGGGAATCAAATTCAAAATGGGAATTGACACAGTTACTTTTTACTGATGATACTGTGCTTGTGGGAGATTCTAAAGAAAAATTACAAAGGTTAGTGGATGAGTTTGAGAATGTGTGTAAAGGTAGAAAGTTGAAAGTGAACATAGAAAAGAGTAAGGTGATGAGGGTATCAAATGATTTAGATAAAGAAAAATTGGATATCAAATTGGGGAGGAGGAGTATGGAAGAAGTGAATGTTTTCAGATACTTGGGAGTTGGCGTGTCGGCGGATGGATTTATGAAGGATGAGGTTAATCATAGAATTGATGAGGGAAAAAAGGTGAGTGGTACGTTGAGGTATATGTGGAGTCAAAAAACGTTATCTATGGAGGCAAATAAGGGAATGTATGAAAGTATAGTAGTACCTACACTCTTATATGGATGTGAAGCTTGGGTGGTAAATGCAGCAGCGAGGAGACGGTTGGAGGCAGTGGAGATGTCCTGTCTAAGGGCAATGTGTGGTGTAAATATTATGCAGAAAATTCGGAGTGTGGAAATTAGGAAAAGGTGTGGAGTTAATAAAAGCATTAGTCAGAGGGCAGAAGAGGGGTTCCTGAGGGTGGTTTGGTCATTTAGAGAGAATGGATCAAAGTAGAATGACATGGAAAGCATATAAATCTATAGGGGAAGGAAGGAGGGGTAGGGGTCGTCCTCGAAAGGGTTGGAAAAAGGGGGTAAAGGAGGTTTTGTGGGCGAGGGGCTTGGACTTCCAGCAAGCGTGCGTGAGCGTGTTAGATAGGAGTGAATGGAGACGAATGATACTTGGGACCTGACGATCTGTTGGAGTGTGAGCAGGGTAATATTTAGTGAAGGGATTCAGAGAAACCGGTTATTTTCATATAGTCGGACTTGAGTCCTGGAAATGGGAAGTACAATGCCTGCACTTTAAAGGAGGGATTTGGGATATTGGCAGTTTGGAGGGATATGTTGTGTATCTTTATACGTATATGCTTCTGAACTGTTGTATTCTGAGCACCTCTGCAAAAGCAGTGATAATGCGAGTGTGGTGAAAGTGTTGAATGATGATGAAAGTATTTTCTTTTTGGGGATTTTCTTTCTTTTTTGGGTCACCCTGCCTCGGTGGGAGACGGCCGACTTGTTGAATATATATATATATATATATATATAATATATATATATATATATATATATATATATATATATATATATATATATATATATATATATATATATATATTTATATATATATGGTCTTGGCCTAAGTAAGTTTATTTAGGTACAGGTGCCCCGGTGGCCTGGTGGGGTGCCCCGGTGGCATGGTGAGGTGCCCCGGTGGCCTGGTGGCTAAAGCTCCCGCTTCACACACGGAGGGCTCGGGTTCGATTCCCGGCGAGTGGAAACATTCCGACACGTTTCCTTACACCTGTTGTCCTGTTCACCTAGCAGCAAATAGGTACCTGGGTGTTAGTCGACTGGTGTGGGTCGCATCCTGGGGGACAAGATTAAGGACCCCAATGGAAATAAGTTAGACAGTCCTCGATGACGCACTGACTTTCTTGGGTTATCCTGGGTGGCTAACCCTCCGGGGTTAAAAATCCGAACGAAATCTTATCTTACACCATAAGTACAATTATCGTACATAGTGTATATCACCTAAGATAACTCAAGAAAGCCAGAAAAAGTAACTTATTACCAATGGCAATGGGGGTCCTTGTATTTCTACTTCCACTGGGGTCCTTTATTTCCATTGGGGGTCTTTGTATTTCCACTGAGGTCCTTGTATTTCCATTGGGGGTCCTTGTATTTCCATTGGGGGTCCTTGCTAAGCGCTTGCTAACTTGTCCCATCAAAGAAGGTTCCTTGATGCTGGTGAGGGGCTCTTGATCTAGGGAATTGGATGTGCTTCAGTTCCCTAAACTGAGTCAGAATACCTTCCATCCCCCTCCCCACAGAACCTGTATAATCCAACGAGTTTAGCGCTCTCCGATGATTATAACAATTGCTAACTTGTATAAAGCCAAGTACTTGATGGGGGGTTGTCGCATAATTGAAAATGTACTCCCTTAATTAATAATAATAAGGTTAATAATAATAAGAATATTAGTATTATATTTGTGAAGGAAGAGTCAAGTGAGAGTCGAGAAGCGACTCACCAGCCAGCTTAGCGGAGCGCTACTCACCCTACACTAACTTTCATTGTGCTCTTATATAGTGATTGTGTGTCTGCCTCGACGACCGTGTACCCTACACTATGAACAAGAAGGGACTGAGGAAGGGTATGTGATAGAAGGTGGTTTTGTGATGGTTTTTGGTGGAGTTAGTGTGGGTGAGACTGCTGCTCGGTTTAGCTATTTTAGCTACACAGCCAAAGAGCCAACAATGGCCGCTTCTCGGCCTCCGCTAACCTGCTATATTCAGCTTTGGAATATCTGTTATTTTTAGCTTCTGTTAACGTCCTATACTTAACCACTGCAGTCCTCCTATGCTCAGGCTTTGCTAACCCGCTATGCTTAGTCTCTTTTTCACTCATCCTGTGCTTACTCAGCCTTTGCTAACATGCTTTATTCGACTCAGCCTCTGCTAACCTGCTATGCTCAGCTTTGCTAACCCACTATACTTAACTGTGGCTAGCCAGCTATACCCAGCCTTTGATAATCCACTATACTCAGTCTCTGCTAACCTGTTAAATTCATCCTTTGCTAACCTGCTACATTCAGCCTCTACCCATCTACTATGTTCTACTCGCCCTCTGCTAGTCTGCTATACTTAGCCTTTCTCCTCAGGGGAAGTTCCGTGATGCTTGCTAGGGGCTTTTGATCCAAGGAATTGGACTTGACCTCCCTTTTCTTGCCTCGAACCATATTTCCTCTCATTCCCTAACTGGTTTAGCGCTTCCTCTCATTAATGCAATAATAATAATATACTTAGCCATTGCTACGTGCTATACTCAACTTTTTCTATCCTCATCCACTGCTAACCTGCTGTACTCAGCCTTCACAAACATGCTGTCTTCTGCCTCTCCTAATCTACCACACTCAGCCTCTGCTGACCTGCTATATTTAGTTTTTGCTAACCTGCTATACTAAACCATGGCTAACTTGCTATATTTAGCTTCTGCTACCCTGCTATATTATTATTATTATTATTATTATTATTATTATTATTATTATTATTATTATTATTATTATTATTATTATTATTGGGAAGCACTAAACATTTTGTGGTCATACAGTGTCTGAGGAAAGGAGAATGAGAGGCAGTTTGGTTTAATGTAAGAAAGTGCAGGGCAGTTCCAATTCCCTTGATCAAGAACACCTCACCAACATCAAGGCAAGTTTTTTTGAACAGCCTGCTATATCCAGCCTCTGTAACTCTGCTATACTCATCCTGTGTTATTCTGCTATATTCAGACTCTATCAAGCTTTCTTCAGTTTTTACTAGTCAGTTATATTCAGTCTTCGCCAGCCTGCAATATTCATCCTCTGTTAACCTGCATATTAACAGTAAACCTTTTCATAATATGCAAGGGTGTGTTCTCGAAAATCACTGCACTGTATAAAACAGTGTTGTGCAAAGTGAAGAACATACGTATAGAAAAATTAGGGTTACGTTCCGAGTACGGTACTACCGAAATTTGACTATTTTAGTACTCTTCCAGGTAAAAATTATTACATTATAACTTATCCTACACACAGGCATTTTGCATTACACATGCATCACCTCTATGCATATCTAATACATGTACTATACAAAACTAGTATTGTTTGAATCTTGAAATACTGTATCAGTTATCTCTGTCTAAAAATTCTCATTCCACAGTATCCATAGGTCGGTCAGTGGTGCAAGCATCAGAGGAACGAGAAGGCAGAATACACTGGGGACACGAGGATGTGATGAACCTGGTGACCTATGTTGGAGTACACTGGCAGGAGTTTGGCAATGGATCACGCAAAAAGAAATTCATCTGGAAGGAAATTGCATCAAAACTGGCACATGACGGTTTTTCTGTCACAGGTGATGACTGTGACCGGAAGTGGAGGAACTTGAAGGTGCTGTTTTGTTTCCTCTCTAGTTTATTTTGTGTTTTTTGGGATTTTAAGACAGTGTTTTAAAAATAGTACACAATGATTGAAATCTGTTGTCAAGTTAGAAAAAATAATAGTTTCAATATTTGATTGGATGCATGTTGTGTCATAAAGCTTTTGAAGTTGAATCACTCCAGAAGACGAAAGAAGAGTCCATCAAAGGATAAGCACTTATTGGTAGAAATATCATTATCCCATAGTTCATAAGTTGGTGATGGGCATGAACAGGTTAGTACAAATCTCAGTAATTGGGTAGAAATTTCATTATCCCACAATTTAGGTTGGTGATAAGGATGAACAGATAAGTATAAGTCTTAATTATAATGTATGTAAGGTCATCAGCATATTTTTATTTGTATACCTTGGTAATATGATTCTTTTTATATACTTTCTCATCAAGCTAGTAAACTTTGGAGCAGTTATCATAGTTGTATTTGACTGTGAGAAAGTCAGTTTTTTATGATTAATCCGAGGCGATTAAGGAAATCATTACACCTGCTGTTCCTGTTTATCTGGCAGTAAATAGATTGTATTAATGTTGGTAGAATTACTGACAATAAGGTGAGTAAAAGGACACGAGTGCAACTAATGTGACATTTTATTGTGGCAACAAAATGACTTGATAAAGCTCCTGGAGAGCGAAACGTTGCAACAATAAAATGTCACATTAGTTGCACTTGTGTCCTTTTACTCAACAGTAAATAGATGCCAAGATATTAGTCATCTCTTGTGGGAGGGCCTGCAGACCCCCAACATTAATACACATTCCTTGATCTTATTAATACATAATCTGGAGTTTACCTGGAGAGAGTTCTGGGGGTCAACACCCCTGCAGCCCGGTCTGTGACCAGGCCTCATGGTGGATCAGGGCTTGATCAACCAGGCTGTTACTGCTGGCTGCACGCAATCCAACGTATGAACCACAGCCCGGCTGGTCAGGTACCGACTTTAGGTGCTTGTCCAGTGCCTGCTTGAAGACAGCCAGGGGTCTATTGGTAATCCCCTTATGTATGCTGGGAGGCAGTTGAACAGTCTTGGGCCTCTGAAGAAAGTCTTCTCATGTGTAAAAGAGAACTCTTGATGAGAATCTAATGGTTAATAAGTATTCTGTATAGTACATGTATGTATAGCAGATTACACTAGTCATTTTGCATTGTATCAGATTTTAAAAAAGTCTGTCAGTATAAATGTGTAGAAAATAGTTTTGTGTGTCATTTCCACTTGCAGTTTGCTACTGATGATTATGATATTGTTTTAATTAGCGTGCACTATTCTTACAGATTCGGTATATGGCAGTACTCGAAAAACAGCTATCTGGTGAGAAAACTGGATACCGAATTGATTACTTTGATAACATCCATTCCTTCCTTAAAGATGATCCCGACACCAAGGCTTTTTTAGAACAAAGGTATGTACTTCAGCTTAAGCCAAAAAAAGTTTAATAATTTTTATGGTGCAGAGAAAAAAAGGGTCATAAAAATGTTATATTTTTGTACCTTTCTTAAGTAGAATTATATAGATGTATGATGTAAATTTCATTGGGATAACATGTGCTTTTAACCCATCAGATACATAGTTATCAAAGGAAGTAAGTAATAGTGAGTTTATTACATAAGTTGCATTGTATTATGCACCGTAGAGACATTGTATTATGTACCGTAGAGACATTGTATTATGTACCGTAGAGACATTGTATTATGTACCGTAGAGACATTGTATTATGTACCGTAGAGGCATTGTATTATGTACCGTAGAGACATTGTATTATGTACCGTAGAGACATTGTATTATGTACCGTAGAGACATTGTATTATGTACTGTAGAGACATTGTATTATGTACCGTAGAGACATTGTATTATGTACCGTAGAGACATTTCATTATGTACCATACAGACATTGTATTATGTACCATAGAGATATTGTATTATGTACTGTAGAGACATTGTATTATGTACCGTAGAGACATTATATTATGTACCGTAGAGACATTGTATATTCATGACAGTAGACAAGAGACATTGTATTATGTACCATAGAGACATTGTATTATGTACCATATAGTACCCTTGGAAGACCCAAAGATGTAGTCATAGCATTTATGTACCTAGGATGAGCAGAAAACTCTACACAAAACAGTAAAAGACAAAAACAAAAACAAAGTTTTATTTCTTTGCAAAGGTTACAGTATGTAATTACAATTCTGATGTGTTAGGTACAAAGGAACCCCCTATTGTGCCGGGGCATTTCGGGCAGACTAATCCTAATAATTAAAGACTGCTTAAATCTAGACAGAATAAGCGGTTAATTTTTAATTATACGATATAATCTATGCTCGTGTTGTTTATATATAAAGATTAAACCGAAATGCCTTGGCATGATAGTGGCTTTCTTTGTACTTAACAAATTACACATTGTAACCTTTGCAAAGAAATAAAATCTTTAATGTTTTTTATAATTGCTTTTGTTATATAAATATGAAGAGTAAACCCAATGTATTATTATTATTATACTTAATCACAACCAAGCACTAAACCCACCAGGGTCATACAGTGCTGAACCCAATCTATAATCCTTGCTTTTGTTATATAAATACAAAGAATAAATGCAGCCTCTGCAGTGCAGTAGAACATAAATATAGTGTAAGGTGTTGGGAGCAGTGAGAGGATTAAATACTGTTTATGTTTGTAACTATCTTGGCCCAGCACTGGGAAACTATGGTCTAGAGTGCATATAGACTATGCAGGTCCAGTTGAGGGCAAACATTTTTTGGTAATTGTAGATTCCTTTTCAAAATTCTTAGATGTGTAAGTAACTAGTTCCATGACTTCCACAGTTACTACTGAATTACTGAGGAAATCCTTTTGTAATTTTGGGTTACCAGACATAGTTGTGTCAGATAATGACACATACTTTGTATCACAAGAGCTGGAAGCCTTCTTTCCTAAGAATAGTATTGAACATGAAACTCCAGCCCCATACCATCCATCATCAAATGGTCTGGCGTAGACAGGGCAGTAAGGATGTTGAAGGAAAGATTACACAAATTTACGAAAGGATCTCTCAATACCATATTATGTAGGTTCTTATATAACCATAGGAAAACTGTTCATTCCTCCACTAGTAAGACACCAGCAGAAAGGATGATTAATAGGGGATATAAATCATTGCCTAATATGCCTGCTGGTGAACTTCAGGGAGAGGTGAGGCAGTTTCAAGTTGATGATTCTGTGTATGCCAAAAATTTTGGGAAAGGTGACCCTTGGGTGGAAGGGAAGATTGTGGAGGTATTAGGAATTAGGAATTATGTACAAAGTGTTAATTAGAGGTTTTGGTAATATGATATGGTAAAGGCATATACATCAACTCGTGCTAAGGTTTAGGAGTGGAGAGCAAACACTGATTCCAACAGTACCAGATGCTGTAAGCAGTGGTTTAGAGGAACTGTCCACAATAGATAATAGTGGTAATAAACTTAAGGATCAGGTTAATATGCAGGAAGAACCTCTTGGGAGCTTTGATGAGGAAAACAGCAGTGCAAAAGGAGAGGTTGCACCTCAGGACAATGCAAACCCTCCATCTCTCCGGCATTCCAGAAGAGTGGTCAAACCTCCAGATAGGTTGGATTTGTAAGTAGTTTGGATGATGAGCTTATCTTTGTATGGTAACCATTCCACCTGTTGTGATAATATAAGGTAATTTAGAAAAGGAGGAATATAAGGTGTTGGGAGCAGTGAGAGGATTAAATACTGTTTGTTATGTTCATTCATTTATAGCTTTGTTGTTTTGAGCCAGGCCGTGGAGGGTACACTTGTTACTGTTACTCTGGCTTTCATTAACCTACAACCATAACATACAGTACCTGACAAGTATTGTTACTATTTGGATTAAATTATTTATTCTTTATACTGAGCTAGTCTGTTTATTTATTTATTTATTTATTTACTTATCTTTGTTTGAATCATTCAGCACAGGAAGGATGAAGTCTCATCCTGCAGTCCACTAATTGCTTCTTGTCAGTGCAGAAATACATTACAGTACAATTAATTTTCTTTATTTCAGACGTGTCCAGCAAGAGTCAAAGGACTTAGGAAACCATAATGATCTTGATGAAGAAGACTTCTCAGATATTACTTCTGATGGTAAAATATTCATATTTGTATAAGTGTTATTCATTAATAGTAATGTTGCTTGTCATATCATGATGAAAGACTGCTTTTCTAATAAAATTTTATTGCGAAGAATTTGTCACATCTGTGACTCACGAAATCATAGTAACACGATTTCAAACAAAAAACTGAACAGATTTGGTATAAATATACCTAGTTGGATGAATCTTATTGTAGCTATCGGGCCCAGTGGCTTATGCACTGGCCTGGGATTTCTTGACTCGCTTGCTGCGAGTTCAATCCCCACCCATACCGTGGTTTGTTTGCAATTGTGTCATTATGATTTCATGATTCCTATGATCTGCTCACTCTGTTTACCTTCATCCAGGAAAACTTCACTTTTAATGCAATTTCTTCCTTTAATTTCACATGTCTCCATGGGGAAGTGGAACAGAATTCTTTCTCTGTAAGCCATGCATGTCATAAGAAGTGACTAAAATGCCGGGAGCAAAGGGCTGGTAACCCCTTCTGTATACATTACTAAAGTTAAAAAGAGAAACTTTTGTTTTTTTGTTTTGAGCCACCCTGCCTTATTGGGATATGGCCAGTATGTTGAAAGAAGAAGAAGAAGAATTTCACATGTACAGCTGATGAGGAAATACTCTCAAGTTTGTTCATTCTGCCTCTGTATTCAATTTCAGTACTTCTGCTTGTTTACTCTTCGTGTCAGTCCTCCTTTAACAATGCAGTGCTGAATAACTCCAACAGGTTTAGTACTTCCCATGAATCAAGTAATGATAATAATAATAATAATAATAATAAATAATAATTTTTATTAACACACCGGCTGTTTCCCATCGAGGTAGGGTGACCCAACAAAGAAGAAACACTTTCATCATCACTCACTCCATCACTGTCTTCCAGAAGCATGCCGACACTACATTTCAAAAACTCTTTAAGAGTGCAGGCACTGTACTTCCCCACATATGAATATTTCTATAGCTTATATACTTTGCAAACACTTTTTTACTGATACTTTGCAGGTCCTATGGAATGGACAGACAAGTCAGTACAGTTACTCCTTGACTTGTTATTGGAATTTAGAGATTGGTTCACTGATAAAGACCCAGACCGTAATGACAGCACTATTTGGGAGGTGAGTGAAAGCTGTGACCATATTTGCTATTGAAATACTGGTCTAATATACTATACAGTATGATCCCTTATACCTGAAATGGTCCCTCGAGGGGGTGTTTTGAATAGTGAAATTTTATAGATAGTGGGTAGGTTTTTTTTTTTTTTTTTTTTTTTTACAAATTTCCCTAACATATACAGATGGCTACATTAGCAACTCATTGAAACTGTAAAGTATGTTATTAAATTTTTGCTAAACAGTTTCAGTCATTTAACCCGTAAACGGTCCAAACGTATATATACGTTCTCTACCGTAGTGCCCCAACTTTTTTGAGAATAAAAATCATTTTTTTTTTAATAGGAAAAAAGAGCATATGGTACCCAGGCATCCCCAATTATTTTAATATGGCACACAGTGAGTGCACACACCCATTCTCTCATGTCTACGCGACTCTGGCTTATTGTGGCAATGTTGAATGTATGACAAATAAAACGTATATATACGTTTGTGGCACTAGCGGTAAAAACGTATATATACGTTTGGACTGTTTACGGGTTAAAATAGATTATTGTATTTTGCATTGTTAGATAAAATGTATAAGAACAATAAATATTGAATGGTACTTGTACATTAAAATGAGTTTTATTGGTGTATGGAAAGTGCCATGTTAATTAATCTAATTTGCTGTCTATCCTTTCATGTTCTGGAGGAACTGTCCATTTACTTTTTTGGTTAGATGTAGTACTGGAAAACTAAAAGATCTTAGCATACTTTTAAAAGAATTTACTATGCAAATCCCCTCCAGACAGTATCAGACCAGATGAAGATGGAGGGACATCAGCCAGGACCAGAGCAGTGCAAGAGGAAGTGGATCAATCTGGCAATAGGCTTTCAGCATCATAAGGCTGAGGCAGAGGCCACAGGATCGGTGCCGTTATGGCCATACTACACTCGGGTCAGGCACATTATGAATGTTATAGGACTTCCCACACCAGGTATAATAACCGGTTTCCTTATTCTTTTTTTATATATAGTACAGTATGCTTTTTTTTTTACACAAATTCACACCGACACATATGTTCTCTTAACTTGTCAGTCATTTCCTACCTGGGCTGGGTAGCCTCAGTAAAATTGTTTGCCAATGCACATCCTCACTACCCTCCATCACTCTTACAGAGTGCAGGCACAACATTCAAATCTCATGGTTGGTTAGCTATTTTTCCTGAGTCCCTTCATTCAAATAGTTTGTAAACATTATACGTATATATAACATTTGAAAGCCCATAAGTTTTTTTTTTTCAACAAGGCAGAGTCCATAAGTATGCACAGTATTTTAGATATTATCTAGTTCACACTTTAGCAGTGAGTCAAATCCTATAAATTATTAGCTTAGCTGAACATATTCACATCACATTGTATTTTGTATTGTGAGGTTTACTGTAATAAGAGAATTCATATACTGTACCTTCCTCTATTGTGATCAAACATTATTGAGTTTTGTATTAATTTTAATGAGATCATGTGATAGATCATTGTATTACCTTTTATAATAAATTATAGCTTAAATTATTTTCTCCCTAGATATTGAAGCTAGAAATAAATTGAAACGAAGAATAAGATTTCCAGGTAATAGCCCCAAGAAGAAGAGCCAAAGATACTTCAAGCAAGAGATTGAGGATATTGATGACAATTTATTAGAAGAATCAATTGAAGAAGCTGTTGATAAAATAAAGCCATCCACCTCAGATGGAGCACCAGGAAGATGTGTGAGATTAACAGAAGTACCAAATAGTGTCATTTTACCAGGTGAGGTTAAAGAAGTATGCCAAAGATTAGAACGCTTAGAAAAAAATGTTGCGATACTCCATAGACTTGATCGCCTAGAAGCAAAGCTCGATGATGCAACACAGCAACAAGAAGCACAACAGCAAACTAATTCATTACTGACTCAGGTCTTATCCGAATTGTCACGCCTCAGTCGCACATTGAGCACTCGATACAGCCATTCAGGACCAGGACAAGATCAGACAGACTTAGGTGCAGGAATCACAATAGTAGTGCCTCATTCACAACACTTAGAATGAACTTTATATTGAAGTACAAAGTTTGAGATCAAATTGATTGTATTTTTAAGGGTAACTCTACTAGTTATAAATATCTGAAATTTGTTGTCTTCCGTTTTTATAAGTTTGGTAAGTCTGGTGTAACAGGAACTAATTTAATTAAATTTTTAGCATGATTTATTTTGGGGGGAATGCAAGATGAATGAGGAAAATTATGTACATTGCGTAGCATTTTGTCTAGAAAAAATGTAGGAATGATGACCTGTCTCAGTGAATAAATTCATGGAAAATTCTAAATCCACAATAATTATGCAGTACTACACAGCAGAGGTGGAACAGATGTGAGGAAAAAGATATAGCAGAAAGGAGACAGACACATTGATATAGCAAACTAGTCAGTTAAGAGTGAGAGCATTAAAGGTGTGGTGGTTAGATAAGTAGGCATCCTAAATAAGCAAGACTAATCAATGAGTAAAGCTGTAGAACTCCAAAACATTATGATGTTTTTAATTCATTTTGCTCCATAGAAAATTAAAAAAGAGCAGATAAGTCATGGTTGCATATAAGGAGTGTCACACCTTTTCATTCCATATTATTATATATTTCACATATTTTTATAAATCATTGTAAAAAACATTAAAATTTTTGGTTAAGATTAGGCAATTTTACTCTTAAATGAAGAATTTAAAAGGCTTTATGATTGATTGTCTGAGTTTGATTAAATGTGAAGTACAGTAGGACCCCCATATCTGTGGGAATATGTTCCAAGAACTACCGGGGATAGTAGCAAACACTATATATGTCATTTTTCATTCACATACGTACATACCCATGATAAAGTTTAATTGATAAATTATGCAGAATAAGTCTAGAATTAGCACTTTTTCACTGACAGGATGCATTTCACAGCTTCTCTTAGTCTTTGAAGAACTGCTAGCATCACTACTATTGCACTTTAGGGCCATTATTAAGCAAAATTAAGGGTTTTTTTGGGCCACGGTAAACAATAGATAACTGAAACTGCAGATTCTGAATCAGTGGATATGGGGGTTCTGCTGTAATGATTAAACCTTCAGATATAACAAACCAAGGCAGTTCAGTCTGAAATTAGCAGGAATTTATGTCATGCCTTATGGAGTTACAATTTTACATTGGCACTGCTAAATTCTTATTTATACAGTATCTTTAATGAACTAACAGATTTTATTGAAAGTACAATATTAGTAATAAATATTCTGAAACTTTTAAAAAATCATAAATATTGCTAGTTTTTCATATACTTTCAGATATTTTTGTAAATAACTGAACAAAATACTGTACATATATGCTTAAAAATTGTTTTTATACTATACTGCATTTAGGGAAATGAATTAAAGGAAATTCTCAGTCCCTTAGTCATTATTGCTTTTAACTCTGTGATTGAGTTGATAAAAGTGCAATTAGTAAGTGTCTGTATGAGAGACACTGCATCTCTGTAGATTAGTTAATTAACTAGGGCAGTTAGAGGTGAATCTTAGCAAACATTGATTGAAAGAGTCAGAGATCCCAGGAATAACCAAGGGTAGTTCAGAAATACATGAAAATCAGTCAGTTTGCTAAAAATTTTAGATACTCTTCTTACTATTTTTTTTGCAATCTAAATGCCAAAACTTACAAGCAATGACACTCATGAATGAGGCACTTAGGGAAAAAATTGCATCTTACAACAGCTGCCATGTAAATGTGGAACATAATTATCTTTTTTTTATTATTTTCTATACAAAAACTCCTTTGTAAGTTACTCTGTGTTAAGCACATGGTGAAAGAATGGAATAAATTGAAAGAGGAAGTGATAAGTGTAAGTAAGTAAGTAAATTTATTCAGGTATACACAATACAGTTACATAGAATTATCATACATAGCAGCATATGTGTAGAGAACCTAGGATAACCCAAAAAAGTCAGACAGAGTGACTTATTTCCAGTGCTTCAACCATAATGAAAATATCCTTCCTCCGTAAGCCATGTGTGACATAAGAGACAACTAATATGCTGGAAACAAGGAGCTAGTAACCTCCTCTCCTGTATAAATTACTAAATGTAAAAGGAAGAAAAATTTTATGATTTTCTTCCTGTTTGAGTCACCCTGCCTCAGTGGGAGATGGCTGGTATGTTGAAACAAAAATGATGAAAATATTACTGATGACAGGAGACCACAGCTCTGCTTCTGAAACTACTAATAGGTAATTAACAGAAAATCAACTTTTTTTTTTTTTTTTGTAAATTAAAGACCTTCAGTATCTTTTTATTAAGCATATGTTTTTAATAGTAATCCATTAATGTAACTTTTGTATATTATGGGGAAGCTCAAAGTCAGGGGGGATTAGAGATATACACTATGCTAATAGATAACTAAAGTGTTATGAAGACTTGTGGGTTATTAATGAGCACTATGATATTATTTTATCATTTTGTTACTAGTCTTCATTATGTTGGTTTCAATAATTTCTCACTTAAGCTCATAATTTGCATTCTGTCTCTTCTGGCAATTTGTTCTTTGAGATTTTATGTTTTTTGGTGCCATGTACTGTACTGTACTGACATCATATTGAGAAAATGTTCTGAGAGTTAAAATTCTTAATAAACTTGCCTTCTATATGATTTTCATGAATTATTTTATTTATTTTCTGAAGTATATTGATGAGAGAAAAACCTACTACAGTATAAATTTGTTATTCATAAAGTGTTATGTTCTGGGAAGTATCATGAATACTAAATCTATGCAAGATACTCATGACTACAGGATTAATTAAGGAACAGATAAACTGTTCATATTCATAACAAAATAAGTGAAATATACCTGTAAAGTATTAACACTGTACATTATATATAATGGGACTATGACCCATAGGGGTTTAGTGCTTCTCCCTTATGAATAGAATATAATTATTATGTCCTTCAGTTATTTATTTGGCTAATTCTCATTTTCCATTATACATTATAGGATTTTCAACACTTTTTTCAGGTAATCTAGATGAGAATATATTGAACATTTTTATACCACTGTTTTTATGCGAATGACATATGATGTTTATGTCTGTGGATGTGTGCTCATGGATGTGGCTAATTTTTTTTTAATGTTTCTTGTTTCCTGTGAGTCTAGTGGACTTACAATCTTTGTTTTGCACTCTCTTTTGTCACCTTTCAAATAAATTGCTTAATTTCATCATTCTTGTTGTTTATTTGTTCTGCACAAGGTCCTATGCTCATTTTCTAGATCATTTATCTTTATTAGTCAGCACACAACAGTCAGTCAGTCAGATGCACAAGACCTGACTGCATGCTGCCAGCCTTCTAGGAACATACACTCACCATAAACAAACATTTCCTAGAAATGTGAAGCATTCCCACACAATATATTGCAAGAGGTGCTTTATACATACACTACTGAATATAAGACAGCTAGCTGGAATTATTGTCATGCTTCAGAACACTTCAGCCTACCTGTCAAACTTTTACACCATGTGTCTTACCCTCCAATACCCAACAAAGAGGTGCACACCCTGTCTCTGTCTTCTGTTATTCATGAAAAGACAGTTAAGCCTCTGAAGAGCTTTTTCCCACTCATTTGTCATTCTTATCTATATTTCCCCCTCTATGAAAGTATAACTTATTTCATAGTCTACTACCCTGGTGTTCTCACAAATATGGGTATACTCTAAAGGAGCCTTCTTTCTCCAGTCACCCAGCTGTCATGATATGAGTCATCCTGGTTATCATCATAGGGCCATATGAACTATACAGATCAGACTCATTCCTTATTTAATCTTTCAGCTTCTTAAAATTTTATTGCTCTTGACTTAATTTGTGAATATTATAATTTATTGGTATTCATAATCTTTACTTATATGCCCATTGTCTGTGCCACTCAGGTTAGCAGGATGGGCATGCAGAATGGCTGCACTTTACATATAATTCTGCTCTATTTCTTCCCAATGTTTCTTCTTTATCAATTAGTTGTGCTTTCTTCTTGCCTCCTCCTCCTCTGCTCCTTCATTGATTTTTCCATAGATATTGAGGAAACATTTTTCACAAATGTTCATCTTGGTGATCCCCAGTATGTGTTCGAGCTAATTACATTTTCTTGTATCAAACCTGATGACCTCCCATTCTCCAGATGCAATATGACCCCTACAGGTTTAGGTCTTTCCTATTAATATAATAATTCTAACTCCTTTACCAAAGGGCACCTTGGATCAAACATAATTACCTGCTATTCCTCAGATGATGTATGATCCTTACATGTTTAGTGCTTCCCAGGAATCCAATAATAATAATTGAGTAGAAGCATTGAGAACGAGCCAACAATATTACACATTCACACCCAGTATGTCAGTACTTTGTAGGATACTCTGGCATCCCACGACCCACAAGTACAAGTTGGCAGCATGTTTGTCTTGAGCTTACTCTATGGAGGATTGAGCCTCAATAACTGTGCACTGAATAACCCACATGGGTTTAGCTCTTCATGCATATAATATATAATATGAATCCAATACTGCTACTACAATAACAATGGTGCTGCTGAAGGGCTCTTTATCCAGGGCCCTCTTCAAGGGAGGCATCTCCGTGCCAGTGCAGGGCTTTTGATCAAACAAGTTGGAGCAACTCTCCCCTTCCTTTGATCGAATCGAATTGGATTGCCTCCCATTTCCCCATGATCCATATGACCTTCATGGGTTTGGCACTTTCCCATGTATATAATAATAATAATAGGTTATTTTTGGGAATATATTAATAATAATAATGTGAAAGTCCTTTAAGACTTGGGTGTGAAGCATGGGTGATGAATGTTGCAGCAAGGAGAAGGCTGGAGGCAGTGGAGATGTCATGTCTGAGGGCAATGTGTGGTGTGAATATAATGCAGAGAATTCGTAGTTTGGAAGTTAGGAGGAGGTGCGGGATTACAAAAACTGTTGTCCAGAGGGCTGAGGAAGCGTTGTTGAGGTGGTTCGGACATGTAGAGAGAATGGAGCGAAACAGAGTGACTTCAAGAGTGTATCAGTCTGTAGTGGAAGGAAGGTGGGGTAGGGGTCGGCCTAGGAAAGGTTGGACGGAGGGGGTAAAGGAGGTTTTGTGTGTGAGGGGCTTGGACTTCCAGCAGGCATGCGTGAGCGTGTTTGATAGGAGTGAATGGAGACAAATGGTTTTTAATACTTGATGTGCTGTTGGAGTGTGAGCAAAGTAACATTTATGAAGGGGTTCAGGGAAACCGGCAGGCCGGACTTGAGTCCTGGAGATGGGAAGTACGGTGCCTGCACTCTGAGGGAGGGGTGTTAATGTTGCAGTTTAAAAACTGTAGTGTAAAGCACTTTTCTGGCAAGACAGTGATGGAGTGAATGATGGTGAAAGTTTTTCTTTTTCGGGCCACCCTTCCTTGGTGGGAATCGGCCAGTGTGATAATAATAATAATAGAAACTTAAGCAACCCTTAACTTCACAACTTAAACCACAGCATTGCTGTATGGTCATCATGAGTGGTTCCTTGATGCCAGTGAGGGGAGCTCCTGATTCAAGGAATTGGAACTTTTCATCCTTTCCATGGAATGAACCTGAATGACTCCCATTCCCCCAGGCACTATATGACCCCTATGGGTTTAGCACTTCATGAATACAAACAGCCATGTGCCAAGTTACAACACTGTCTTCCTGTAAAGTGATCCGAGGGTCAACATCATGTGGCTGAGTCCCAGACCAGACATCCTAATGGATCAAGGCCTCATTAACCAGGTTGTTACAGCATACGAACCACAGCCTGGCTGATCAGGAACTGATTCTGGGAACCTATCTAGTTCCCTTTTGAAGACAGCTAGGGGTCTATTAGTAATCCCTCTTTATATATGGTGGGAGGCTGTTGAATAGTCTTGGGCCCTTTACATTTTTTGTGTTATCTCTCAGCACATCCCTTGCTCTGTTGGGGTGCCAATGAAGAGCTTTTTACTTTCATAGGGAGTGATTTCTGTGTGCAGATTTGGCACTAATCCCCCTATGATTTTTCAGGTGTAAATTATGATGTATCTTTCTCTCCTGTGTTCCAAGGAGTACAGGTCATGGGAGTTCAAAATTCCCAGTAAATTAAGTGTTTGACTGTACTTATACGAGCAATGAAGGTTCTCTCGACATTCTCTAGACCTGTAATTTAGCCCAACTTAAAAGGGAATGTTAGTTTGCAGCAATATTCCAGCCCCCATGTGGGGTTGCAACAGTGTGGGGTTAAAATATCTCGTGGTGTTACAACAGCTTGTGAGATTACAAGACCGTGTGGGGGTTGACAACCCCGTAGGGAGTAGTCAGTCCTTAAGAGAGTCGCCTTGATGCTGCTAAGGGCTCTTGATCTAAGGAATTAGAGTTGACCTCACTTTCCTTGGATCGAACTTGATTGCTTCCCATTTCTCAGGCGAGGTATGACCCGTATGTGCACAGTACTTCCCTCTAAATATAATAATAAAGGAAAATTTGCCTTTTTTTTTTCCAACTTACCCACCTGAAGTCTACCTGGAGGGTGTCCCGGAGGTCAATGCCCCCGCGGCCTGGTCCATGACCAGGCCTCGCGGTGGATCATGGCCTGATCAATCAGGCTGTTACTGCTGTTTCTCCAAACCTTTCATTTATAACTTGGGAATGCCTCAGCAGCCTGGCTTCAGATCTCGAACGCTAGGTTACTGTAACTTAAGAAAGGTGAAAGCTCATACCACACGCCCTTATAAAAGTCTCGGCACCACTATACCTGTTGTATACCTAGAGAGGGCTTCGGGGGTCAACGCCCCCGCGGCCCGGTCCATGACTAGGCCTCGCGGTGGATCAGGGCCTGATCAACCAGGCTGTTACTGTTGGCCGCACGAAACCCGACGTACGAACCACAGCTCAGCTGGTCAGGCATGTTCCCCATTTTGCCTCCGTAGATAAATTTCTTTCCACAGATGCAAGGAGAGTGGACCTAGTAACGACCAGGGAACATGCGGGGCCAGGAACTGTGAATTGACCCCTGCAACCACAAATAGGTGAGTATACCACCAACCTCCCCATCATCATCCTGACCTATTCTATTCTGTTCTTGCTTGACATATGTAGATCCATCTACCGGCATGTCCACTCCCAAATATTAATAATAATAATAATATTTTTTATTTATACATGTACAAGGTATAGTCCTAGCTGACATCAATGACATACTGCTATACACAAAACTACTTGTTATGCTGAGCATTTCCTGCAAATTAGGTCAGTTTTGTCCCAGGATGCCACCCACACCAGTCCACTAACTCCCAGGTTCCCATTTTACTGAGGGAAAATATAGAGAACCGGTGTAAAGAAACACTACCAATTTTTCTACCCTCACCGGGAATCGAACCCGAACCCTCACCATGTGAAGCGAGAGCTTTAGCCACCAGACCACGGGGCCTGGAGGCATTCACTTCCTCCATTAGAGGACTGTGAAAGATAGCACATTACATAACTGTGAAAGATAGCACATTACATAACTGTGAAAGATAGCACATTACATAACTGTGAAAGATAACACATTACATAACTGTGAAAGATAACACATTACATACCTGTGAAAGATAACACATTACATAACTGTGAAAGATAACACATTACATAACTGTGAAAGATAGCACATTACATAACTGTGAAAGATAACACATTACATAACTGTGAAAGATAACACATTACATAACTGTGAAAGTATAACACATTACATAACTGTGAAAGATAGCACATTACATAACTGTGAAAGATAACACATTACATAACTGTGAAAGATAACACATTACATAACTGTGAAAGATAACACATTACAAAAAATAACTGTGAAAGATAACACATTACATAACTGTGAAAGATAACACATTACATAACTGTGAAAGATAACACATTACATAACTGTGAAAGATAACACATTACATAACTGTGAAAGATAACACATTACATAACTGTGAAAGATAACACATTACATAACTGTGAAAGATAACACATTACATAACTGAAAGATAGGAAATTACCTAAAATTATAATCCAGCCTATAATTTTTAAAACAAACTCGATTAAAGGCGTATAACATTTACTAATTGGATATTCAATTCCTTTGTATCATTGTAACTCGTAACTTTATTTTTACAACCACATAAGAGAGTGTATATACAAACAGTTA